AGCCCATTAAGTCCCCTGGCCTTGGCATATCCATACACAGTAAATGTCCTGTTATGCTTGATCCTTTATATTTCTTATATAATAATACCCAGTCTCAGGTGCCTTGGATTCTTCCTAGGGGCAGAAGCATAGGCTATTTCAGTTGTCCTTTCTCTTTGGATGCTAGATTCTCTTTTCTTTCTTCTCTCTTCAGCCTGGAGCTTTAGCATCTGTGGTACAGGGTCAAGCTGCCCTCCCATCTGACCTGCATTTGTCACCGTCCACTCCAGAACCTGGAGGGCATCACTGGAGAAGAGCTAGGTCCTTAGGCCTTGCCCATTGTCTCTCTTGACTCCACTGACAGTGGGCTTTGTGTCTGGCTGCTAGGTGTCTCCCATTTAGACTGCCTTCTCAGTGACTGGGGAGAATGTCCTGAAAGTATGTGCTCTGTTAGGCACTGGCTGTGCCTCTCTTCCTACCCTCATTGTGTTTCCAGATGTCGGAGACAAACATGGAGTGCTAAGGAAATAGCCATGGATACCTTTCAGATCTACTGCTAGGGTGCCTAGGTGGGGAGTCATTGCTTTTATGTCATGAAGACAGTCTAGGAGGATGCTTGAGGGAGCAAGCCTTGCAGGATGGAGTGCTGGACTTTGAAGCTTGTGCCCCTTTACCCCAAAATGGGCAAGATGGTGAGCCACCTTGTGTTAGGCTGAACACATGTTGCCAGTTTTTCTGTTAGCAAAGGGCAGAGGGAGGGGACTGGGATTGGAGCAGATCCACATTTCTGGTGCAATACCGCCATCAAGAAGAAATGCTTTTGTAAATCTTGCAAACCTTGTACCATCACTTCCTGGAGAGGAGTGACAAAGGAGTGAAGTATGAGAGAACAGTGTCCCAGGGAGGTTAAGATGCCCACTAGGCACAGGGGTAAGCATGACACAAAGTTGAGTTGGGCCACAGAAGCATCAGAGACAGGCACAAATGCAGGATCTTGGTCTCCAAGCCTGGAGGTCTGACTGGGAGTGAAGGTTTTTAGGACCCTGGTGGCTGCCATGTCTGGAGAGGGCTAGAAAAATTGGCTTTAAAAAAGCCAGGCCAGGGGGCTGGGGGTATTTGGTCACTTGGCCACATGTCCCTTCCATTAGATGACAGAGCACATTTGGCCTAGGTAGGCCTAGGGGATTGAACTTTTTGTACTCAACCTTTTCTCCTCACCTTGGGGCCAGAGCCTAACTAATCTATATGGTCTGATTTCTCCCTAGCTTAAAGTGGTCTCCATCTGGGGCACCTAGGTGGCTCAGTCAGTTAAGCATCCAACTCTTGATTTCGGCTCAGGTCACGATCTTGGGGTTGTGGGATCAAGCCCCACCTTGGGCTCTGTCCTGGGTGTGGAGCCAGCTTAAGATTCTCTCCCTCTGCCCCTTCCCCACCCCATTCCTGTTCTTTCTCTCATGCTCTCTCTAAAAAAAAAAAAAATTTTTTTTAGATTTATTTATCCATGAGAGACACACAGAGAGAGGCAGAGACACAGGCAGAGGGAGAAGCAGGCTCCTCACAGGGAGCCTGATATGGGACTCGATCCTGGACCCTGGGATCATGCCCAAGGGCAGACGCTCAACCGCTGAGCCACCCAGGTGTCCCTCTAAAAAATAAAATTTTTAAAGATTCTCTGCTCCTGTGGCAGGCCAATGGCTACACCACAGAACATATACCTCGTATGGAAAATCCCAGGAGTCTTCACAAAGAAAAGGATCCAGTTCATACACCCATATATTGGGAGGTTGCCATGGAATACCATGTTCCTGGGCTGCAAAGTTTCTGAGGTGTGTGAGGAAAATAGCTTGGATTCTTTCACTCTGGGGGACAGTGTCCACCTTAAGGTACTAATCCTGGTCATGTCTGCTCCCGTTCCCTTCCATATTCAGTATGTATCCATACCCCTTGTCATGAGACAGGTAGAGCTGTCTGGGATACTGTGGGCCCTGGGACTTAGATTCTTTTTAGCATGAACCAAAGTAAACAAAACAACCCCTACTCTAACTTGTGGTGCACCAGCAGTACTCTTCCTCATCTGGGTCTAGTACCAAATAATCGGGAAATTCTTTACCCTGTCTGCAAAATGCTGCTCTGACAAGGTGGCCATCGCCTCCCTGTTCTACTCCTGTGGTGGCTTGGCCTGGACACTCCAGTCCTGGGTTCCTTGTTGCCCAGAGATCCTAGGAACTCCACTGGCTGAACCTACTTGGACTGAAGGTAGGATCCTTGGCTCCCAACACAGATGCTACTGGGACCACGCCCCACAGCCTGGGGAAGCTAGCATTCTTGCAGTCACAGCTGGGCTCCATGCATCCTGTGTTGTTTCCTCATTGATACTGGAGGTTGCCAGGCTGCTGGATCTGGTCCAGAATATTCTGGTTGCCCTAGTCCCTCCTCCTTCTCATCAGGGGATCCACAGACAGCTTCTGCAGACTTTGCTTTAAAAACTATCCACTTGATGGCATTGTTGCTCCAGAAATGCCAACACAGGCTTCCAAGTGTGGTCTCAGTCTTGGGAAGTCTCAGAGGTTTGAGTCATCCATGCTCTTCAAGTGGGGTTGATTCTATTGGGCTGTTGGGGCATGTTTTTTTCTTTTGGGTTTCTTGCTGGCAGTAGGAATGTACATATAGACACCCAAGAAATACATCCATCACCACATCTCAGTTTTAAGTCTGCATTTCCTGGCAACAGGGACCCTGTTGTCTGTGCATTCTTGTGTAATTACATATGGGTCTTCTAGGGCAGAATCCTAGTTTTCCAAAGATTAATTTATAGCAATGGGTGTCACAATGAACTGGATGGTACCCTGTTCTTCTTGAGGTATTGCCTCTGTTATTTGCTCGGCCAGGTACGACGTCTACCTTAATTGAGGGCTCAGAAGCCGACCCTAGAGGGAGTAGGCAATTATGACAGCAAGAGGAACTGATAGAATCCAGGTCTGGTTAGAAGGGGAAGTGGATTGCCCAGGCTCACCTCTGGGAGTTTCAGGCAGTCACTCTGCTATTGTGTGCCCCACTCTGCTATTGTGGGTGGATGGGGGGTGCTGAAGTCCATGAGACAGTGGCCCCATGGCTCCATCTACACAGTTGACCTTGATGAGGAGCATTTGTTCAGCAGCCTTTTCTAAGAAGCTGTTCTTCAGAGAACGTCTGTATTCTACCCTCAGATAGACCCCCAGTCATTCATTCATTTGTACATATGTATGTTCAAGCACTAATACTTGTATCATGTGTATATGGAAATATCTATTTCCGAATTCCTATACTTCTCTGTAACTGCCTTGGAGATGCTACTGTGGGTAGAAATTTCTCCCAATGAAAGCAAAAGCTCTCACCATTGCTCAGTGATTGCTCCAGTTTGTCCATCTTCTAATCCCTTTATTGCATTGGGAACCTGTTTTGGTTTTTCATTGTGTATTGGTTAGTGTTGAATGCAAACAACAATGATTGAAAGCAGTGCGACCCAGAGGGCCATCTACATTTTACCTACCTTTGTCCCCACAGTACTCACAGAATAATAAACATTCTTTTGTCTTTGGCTGCTTTCCCAGCCTAATAGGTGGCCTTGGCACATCTGTACCAGCCAGAGTAAATGTCCTGTCCTGCTTAAAATTGTCCATTTCTTTTCTTCCTACTACTCTGGGCAGGGTGCCTGTGTCTCTGCCTGACAGAGGGCAGGAACATAGATTATTTCATGTGTCTCTTCTCTTTGGACATTAGATTTCTCTTTTCTTCCTCTTCTGTGACAGGAGTGGCTCTGAGGCGGTGTATACATTTCTATTTACCAGAGTTCGAGGGTGTATAACAGGGATACATTTTCCAGTGTCATTTCCCAAGTAGAGGAAATCAGTTGGTCAAACTGTAACTCAGTCACATCAGAGTAAATGCCTTTATCACCAGAAAGTCAGTGTGGTGGTTCTGTTTGGAGCCAAAGTTGGTGCCCACTTACCCATGTGTCACATGAGCTGCTGGTAGGTTGAGGATCTGTCACTACATTTGTAGAGGAGGATCCCTAAGGATACACCACTGATAGGGGGGTAGGAGGGTAGGTCTTGTTTTGTTTCTCTGCCTAGCTTACTTAAGCTTGTAGACTGGTACCTAGAAAAAGATAAGCCTTCAGCTGAGATGGAGCTTGCAAGCTGGTTCCAAAGGAAAATGGCCCTCATCATTACGAGCCAGTGTTTGGTGCTTGAAATGTCCATATCGTTTGTGATAAAATTGGGTTGGTAGGAAACGGGAAAACTTGGTAATGAGTCCGGAGAGGGGCGAGGCATTTCTTTCTGTCATGATGAAAATGTTCTAAAATTGATTTTGCTGATGTCTACACAACTCTGAATATGCTAGAAACCGTTGAATTTTTCACTTTAAAGAAGTGAATTATATGGTATATACTTAGTGAAAACAGCATTCAGAGGGAATTGTAATTGCATGAACATGTATTGTTAAAAAGAGGAGACCTTAAATCAACCTAATTGTTGATTTCTAACCTTAGAAATCAGAAGATCAGCAAACTAACACAAAACAAAAGCAGAAAGGAAATAATTAAGGCAGGGATAAAGGAACTACAAAATAGAAGAAGACTAATAAGAGTTCTTTGAAAAGATTAATTAAATTCTTAGCTAGACTGAATAGAGAAAATAGAAATAACTGAAGTTAAAAATATAAGGCAAGGCAAAAAAAAATATAAGGCAGGAAGACATGAACTATTTGAGAAGTGAGATGGGTGATTGAATTGTGTTCTGAACAACTATACCCAACAATTAAACAATAAAGTTATTAGAAACAAACAAGTTACCATAGATGACTCAAGAAGATATAGATGATCTTTTTTTTTTAAGATTTTATTTATTTATTCATGAGAGACACACAGAGAGAGAAGCAGGCTCCATGCAGGGAGCCCGATGTGGGACTCGATCCTGGGACTCCAGGATTACACCTTGGGCCGAAGGCAGGTGCTCAACCACTGAGCCACCCAGGCGTCCCCAGATAGAGATGACCTTAACAGACCTATAGTAATTACAAGTTTTGATTAAGTAATTAAAATCTAGCACATACAATTCCAGGACGATATATCATCATTGGTAAATTTTACCACTTAAAGAGGAATTGGCACTAATCCTCAAATCTTTACTAATAAATTGGGAACACATCTGTATCAGAGTTCCCCAGAGAAAAGGAACCATATACAGAGGAGGAGATACTTGTTTTATGAAATTGGCTCATGTGATAGTGGAGGCTGAGAAGTACAAACTCTACATAGTAGGCTGGCATGCTTGAGATCCATGAGATGGAGTGTTACAGCAGTGTGGAGATAGAAGTCCCTCTTCCTTGTGGGACTTCTATCATTTTTCTCAGATGGCCTTGAACAGATTGGATTAAGCCTACCTGTCTTGTAGATAGTAATCTGATTTAATTGCTGAAATGTTAATCTCATCTAAAAATGCCTTCACTTATACTGTCATTCATTTAGACTGGTGTTTGACCAAACGTCTAGGTGCCATAGCTTAGCCATGTTGGCACACATAAGACTAACTGTCATAACATCATAACATCCTATGTCATTCCTTGAGACAGCATTATTCTGATACCAAATTGGCCAGGCAAAAGTAACACAAAATTACAGACCAATATCTTATACGACTATACACATTAAAATCCCCAGCAAGATACTAGCAAACATAATCCAAGCATATATTTTAAAATTATACACCAAGAACAAGTGAATTTTACTCCAGGGATGCAAGGGGGGATGAACATAAGGAAATTGACCAATGTAATATTCACATAAATAGAATGAAGCTGAAAAAACTACATGATCATCTCAATTGGTGCAGAATAACCACTTAACAAACCCTTTTATGATAATAAGATAGGAATTTCCTCAGCATGATAAAGGACATATGTAAGGCAGCTCAGCAGTTTAGCGCCGCCTTCAGCCCAGGGCGTGATCCTGGAGACCCAGGATCGAGTCAGGTTCCCTCCATGGAGCCTGCTTCTCCCTCTGCCTGTGAAAACCCCACAGCCAATGTCATACTTAATGGTGAAAGACTGGAATCGTTCCCATGAGGAACAGAAAGATGCCCATTATTGCCACTTCAAAATTTTACTGGAAATTTTAGCCATAGCAAAATTAGGTGAGAAAAATAAAAGCCATTCAAATTGGAAAGTCTTTTTGCAGATGACATGATTCTAAGAACATGGAGTATCCCAAGAATACACACACATAAACTAGAGCTAAAAAATGAATTTGAAAAAAAATAAATAAATAAAAAATGAATTTGGCAAAGGTGCAGAGCATAAGATCAATATGCAAACATCAGTTGTGCTGGCCATAAATGCAACCACTTGTATCTACTTGTGGCAGAGGGAAGTTTACACACAGACACTAGGAAAAGAAGGCAATGCAAAGACAGAACAGAGATACGTGGCAATGAACCAAGGGATGCCAAAAGTTCTGGAAGGTGCAGAAGAAATTGTCTCCTATAGCCTCTAGAGAGTGTGGCCCTACCAACTCCTTGATTGTGGACTTCTGCCCTCTGGAACTGTGAGAAATTTTTATTATTACAAACCACTCAGTTTGTGGTAATTTGTTATGTCAGCCTTAAGGAACTAATACAATTATCCTTACACCACTTTAATTCCCTTTTACCTTCTACGTCAATTTCATAATCTTTGTGGAATTTCCAATTATTTAGATACTGTACTGAAATAGAAACATAAAATGGTGAGTTCATAAAGGAAAGGGAAAGAGTCAGCAATCATATTCTCTAATATAATACTGTACTTGTACAGAGTTATGCAGTTATTTGCACATTAATGACTACCAGTGGCTAGAAGATGCCAGAAACCCCTAGTTAGGGTTTCTGCCTTGGATTATTTGACTTTCTGTGGAGAATGTAGTACTGCTATTCAAGAACCAATACATAGGGCTCAGGTTTATACATTTATTTCTGCTTCATTTCATAATTTAGAGCAGATAATATGATTATGGAGCAGGAGATCCTCGAACAAAGATAATGGTGGTGGATATAGGATACCATTTAGTAGAGGTCAAGTAGTTGGAGGAAGAGGAGCAAATCCTATGGGTAGAGCTGGTGCTGGGGATGGCCCTCTATCTGCTATGGATGTGGTGGAGCAATCCTGGAATTTATGAGCAACCTGCAAGTCCGAGTCCATGTTCCCATAATATAAATACAGAATATACAGCTCAGAATGCATAGCAATAGACACTTGTGACTTTTTATAGATTATATACTGCTTATTTATCAGTGTTCAGTGATGGAACAGTATGTGCAAAGGACTTGATAGATATTTGATGAGCACTTTAAACAGTATACAATGACTATTTCTGCTAACACTCAGATACTAGGAGACTGGGCATCCTTATTAGAGACCTTGTGAAATAGTAGTCCAAAATAATGAAAACCTAGATTTCATGATAAACCTATGCAAAGGAGATTCCTCTATCTAGTTTGGACCCTTAGACTAGTTGGTTCCATATGGATAATACAAAGTCATGGGTTGATCCCTAAGGGAGACGAGCACCAAGATTCCGGGTCCACCAAGCAGCAGAGTCTGAACTGTTTTCCAATACCAATAACTAATAATAAGTGATATCCATTTGCATAAGAACAGTGCTTATCAAAAATTTTTCCTCACTTTTGATTCTCATTAGAAACCCACAACATGGTCAGGGTAAGGTAGTTTCGTCTCACTACTTACAGAAGAGTTACCAGACTCCAGAAATTTAAGTGACTGATAAAATGTCGTGGACTTAATCAGTTCTAAAGCTTAGAGCTCCTAATAAAGATTTTAAGTGTAATGGGATCTTTTGGCATAGATAACTTCACAGATCCACCTATCTTTTCTTTTATGAAATGATGGTAGTCAAGATTTAAAGAGGTGTAAAAAGCTTCTGGAATTATTAAAATTATTGAAGAATTCCTTTTTGTAAGGAAAGACCATGGACCCAATTTTTCAAATCATCAAAATTTCCTCTCAGCAGTTTTGCTTCTGTAACATATTCTGTCACAACATCTAGAGCAATTTAATGAGTTTTTTCCCCACCTGAAAAAGATATGTTGTTTTGAAAAATCTTACTTGTAGATTTATTGTCCGTAAAATGTGTAATTGCCACTAAGTCTGTTTGTGGTCACATTTTCCTTCTATCTGACAAGATCTTTTTCTTTAGAGATTTATTTTTAGAGTGAGAGAAAGCACATGGGTGCACAAGAATCTCATACTCCATGCTGAATGCATAGCCCCTACTCCATCTCAATGACCCTGAGATCATGACCAAAGCCGAAACCAAGTCAGATGCTTAACCTACTGAGCCGCTCAGGCGCCCATAGATTATTTTCTACCCTTGAACTCAACGTGACAGGACAAAAAAATCTATGTAGCTTCATTACCTTGGTCTGGTGATGCTGGAATTCTGTTCTAACATCTTTGAATTTTTATTCCTTGAAGCTCATCTTGAACTTGTGGCCAGGTTCTGAATTCTTCATTTCTCTGCAAAAATCACTACTATGAATGTACATGTAGTTTCAGGAAAGCGTCAGATAATATTATATATTAAATAAGTGTAGGATTATTTTTTTGCTTGCTGAATTCTCAACACTCAGAAGTTCAGAATTCTTGATTATTTTCGTAACAGTTAAGTTCTCTGTGGAGACAGTGGTAGCATGATGAAATATGCCCCTGACCTAAGGTAAAAAAAAAAAAAAATACTTCTCACTTCTGGAAAATAAAAACAAAAAAATGAGAGGACAGTAGTTTTTCTTAATATATCACAAACACATTTTTTGTTTTGCTGTTGAAAGTTAAGTCTTAGAAGTACAATCAATTAGAAACTGAATCATCATAATAACCCATTAACGCCAAATCACAGCAGGAACTCCCATTCATTCTCAGGGGCAATGCAAAATGTCACTTTAGGAGATAGTTTAGCACTTTCATACAAAAGTAAACATACTGTTAACATAAGATTCAGCAGTTGCCCTTGTTGGTATTTGCCAAAGTGAGTTGAAAACATGTTCGTACATATGAATGTTTACAGCAGCTTCATTTGTAATTGCCAAAACATGGAAGCAACCAAGATGTCTCAGTAGATGAATGGATAAATGAATGGTGGTACCTCCAGACAATGGAATGTTTGGAATAAAAGAAACGAACCGTCAAGCTACAAAAAGACATGGAAAACCCTTACATGCATGTTGCTAAGTGAAAGAAGCCGGTATTAAAAAAACAATGCATATTGTAGGATTCCAGCTATATGCCATTGGCAAGTAGGCAAAAACTGTGTGGATAGTAAAAAAAAAAAAATCAGTAGTTTCCAGGGATTCCACAGGAGGGATGAGATGAATAGGTGGAACACAGGTAATTTTTTTTTTTTAGGGCAGTAGTACTGTATGGTAATGTAATGGTGGATACATATCTTTATGTATTTGTGATGTGAAACCCATAGAAATACAATACAAATGTTGAACTTGAATGTAAACTATGGACCTCATTACCAATTGTAACAAGTGTACCACAGTAATGCAAAGTGTTAGTAATAGAAAAAAGGAGGGAGTAGGCGAGAGATTATATGTGAACTTGGTACTTTCTAGTCATTTCTTTGTAAACCTAAAACTACTCAGAAAATTTAATTTTTTAAAAAGCTATCAAGCAGTTCAATTTCTTAACTATATAGCTTTGAAAAGAGATTGTACTGATAAAATGCTTAAATGAATGGGCATTAATCCAAAAACAGGTGCTTCTTAGTGTAAAATAGTGTCTTCTCAGATGGCTAAAGCAAACCACTTGTATAAAATGTTATAAGAATAAAGGTGGAAGGTTAAAGTATAATACTATAATACTAAGCCAGAGAGACCATGTGATGGGAGTGACTGATTCCAGAATATACCACCCCAAAGTATGCCTCTTTGGATCAGGGACTGTTTTAAGCTAAAGGCCATTGTGAACCATAAGAAATGTTACAAAAACAGCACGAGCTTTCCTTCTTATAGGAAATTTCCATTGGTTAAAAAGTGTCTCTCGAGGGGGCAGCCCAGGTGGCCCAGCGGTTTAGCACTGCCTACAACAGCCCAGGGCGTGATCCTGGAGACCCAGGATTGAATCCCACGTCGGGCTCCTGGTGCATGGAGCCTGCTTCTCCCTCTGCCTGTCTCTGCCTCTCTCTCTCACTGTGTGCCTATCATAAATAAATAAAAATTAAAAAAAAAGATAGCGATTTTATTTTCTTCAGATAAATACCCAGTAGGAGCACTGAATCATATGGTAGCTTTATTTTTAATTTTTTGAGGAACTTCCATACTGTTTTCCCTAGTGGCTGTACCAATTTACGTTCCCACCAACAACATGTAAGGGGTCTCTTTTCTCTACATCCTTGCCAACACTTAATAGACATCTTTTATCAGCTTTTATCAATGCAGACAGCATGACTTAAATCTCTATTAAAATAAACTTTACTAAACAACCCTTGTTTACCATACTTTTCCTGGTTACCTACCCATACCTTGCCTCCACTCCTTTGCCCCTCACCAGAAACTCAAAATTCCTTTTCCTTGTTTAGCCTAGGGTGGTTTATAAGCCCAAATTTGAACCACCCCTTTGGGTTACTCATTGCTGGGTATTCCCAATGTGCACTTATGTTATTACATGTTACACATGCAATGAACATGTTAACAAAGTTCTATTTGTTTTTGTCTTAAGATTTTCCTCCACCAGGGACATTGATTGATCTGTTGCATCCTATCCCAACCCTTCCTCATCAGGCTTCTAAATAGGTTCAAAGAAGCCTGAAAACTTAGAGTGAACACACCCCAAAGCCTGGCTATATAAATAGAATTCTTCCATCTTTTTCCCCCTTTGTGTTAGACGTCACCCTGGGTCATTTTGGAAGGCTATACACACATGCCAGTGATGTGATTTCTGTTTCTAAAAGTGATACATCTTTGTAGGTTGAATTATCTGTAGAGTCTGTAATTATAAAAAGTCATTTAGATCCAACTCTAAAGAAAGATTGGGTGAGCAATATCGATAATAATAATGGTTGGGAGTCAAACCTAAAATATAATTGTTTCATCCATTCTTATTTGAGTCCCTGGAAAATATCCCACTTTAGTTTATCCAAATCTTCTCTAGTATATTTAAATTTCAAGCACTCTGAGGTCTTCATGGTCAGTGAAGAAGATGTGAGCTTGTTCAACAGCTTCAGTTATCTGTATTAAGATTTCTCTAAATCCATATCATATTCCCATCTCCCCTCCTAAAATTAGCTTCTCCTGTGCTTTTTGAGCGTAGTGCCCACACAAGAATACTGTCCATAATTTCCTTCTGTAAATGGTTTATTTGCAGGGAGGTGTGTAATCTACTTGTAATTTAAAATTAATCACACAGTCAGATTCGAGGTATGTGAGAAGAGGTCTTCTTAAAAGTCCACCAGTCTTATCCGCTCTTCTTAATGAAGCTAAGATCTAAGAAATATAAGTGACTTTTAAAACCACAACCAAATTGGTGGCTCAGATCTTACAATGAATTCCCATCATTTTATGACTTTTTTACTAGTTTAGATTGCCGCTTAAAAGGACTCAGAATAAGAGAAGGAATACAGATGGTCACTAGAAGAACCAGAAGTTCTTCCATTTGATAACAGAAAATAAAATACAGTAAACATTGCTAAGAGGATTATTTAAAATGGAGCCAGGAGGACATTGAAAAGTGGGACTTAATGTTTCCTGTCTCAAATTCTCAGAATTATTGCTGACCTCAACTAAAAGCCAAGGCATCTGCTGCATGTTAGAATTGAACATAAATGGGGGTGTCTGGATGCCTCAATCGTTAAGTGTCTGGCTCTTGATTTCAGCTCAGGTCATGATCTCAGGGTTCTAAGATTGAGCCCTGCCCTCAGCGGGGAGTCTACTTAAGAGAATCTCTCTTCTGGGCAGCAGCCCAGGTGGCTCAGTGGTTTAGTGCCGCCTTCAGCCCAGGGCCAGATCCTGGAGACCCAGGATCAAGTCCCACGTCAGGCTCCCTGCATGGAGCTTGCTTCTCCCTCTGCCTGTGTCTCTGCCTTTCTGTCTGTGTCTCTCATGAATAAATAAACGAAATCTTTAAAAAAAAAAAAAGAATCTCTCTTCCTCGGGCATCCCTGGTGGCTCAGCGGTTTAGCTCTGCCTTCAAGCCCAGGGCATGATCCTGGAGACCCGGGATCGAGTCCCGCATCGGGCTCCCTGCATGGAGCCTGCTTCTCCCTCTGCCTGTGTCTCTGCCTCTCTGTCTCTCTCATGAATAAATAAATGAAATCTTTGAAAAAAAAAAAGTTAAGATGTTCTGTTCATGGATACCCCAGTGTGAGTAACCATGGAAGTTGCCATTTATATAGAGTTTACTAGATGCCAGGAACGGGACTAGAGGGCAGCCCCGGTGGCGCAACATTTTAGCGCCGCCTGCAGCCCATGGCGTGATCCTGGAGACCCTGGATCGAGTCCCACGTCAGGCTCTCTGCATGGAGCCTGCTTCTCCCTCTGCCTGAGTCTCTGCCTCTCTCTGTCTCTATGAATAAATAAATAAAATCTTAAAAAAAAAAAAAGGAACGGGACTAGATGCTCTTCATCCTCAGCCTTGCCCTTTCAGATAGGTACTATTATGCCATTTTCTCTCTCTCTCTCTCTCTCTCTGAATAAATAAATAAAATCTTTAAAAAAATCTCTCTTCCTCTAACTCCACCCCCATCCCTACACACAGTTGTACACACACTCTATAAAATAAATAAATAAATAAATAAATAAATAAAATCTTTTTAAGAAGAATTTAACATAAATGGACTTTCCACCTAGCACTACTAGCAACCAATCACATTTCATTCAAAACAATTTATGTAAATTCCCTTTGTCTCTCCAGAGCACACCTGATACTAGTGACTCTATGTCTCCCAGATTGCAAACCCTAAGACCCCCAATAAACGTACAAATTTTATTTTACAGATTGCAGTTCTGCCTTTCAATATTGCATGGTGTCAAGAGTGGGATCCAAAGTGACCAGCAGTCATCTCCAGCACTTGCTGCCATCTCCAGCACTGCCATGGATTTGAGTAAGGTATTGCAAGAGTGGCTTTGGGTCATGGCAGTTAAGTCCTCTCGGCCTATAGTTGGGTGTTCTGTCTTGCTGGCTTCTGTCCTCATATTCAAGGAGAGGATTCTGTCTTCATGTTTCCTAGTGGAAGATTCTAGTTTAGTAGTCTGAGTACTAATTCTTGGGAAATTCTGCTTCTAAGAAGGGTTCTTATGTGCCACCCTCCTGCAGTTTTCTGCAGTTTTCTGCAGAAACTCCTGCAGTTTTCTGTTTAAAGAATATGGTCCTTCCTGCTGTAAATTTTTGCCCTGTTGGACTCCTATTACCTGGGATGATTGAAAACTCCACTGGCTGTGATGGGGCAAAAATTAGTTCACTTCTGTGCACAATTGGAAAAAAGGCTGTAAAACCAAACAAAGCCAGTGGAAAGCTTCTTTTAATCGGTATCTTAGAGGCCTCAAAAAAAAAAAAAAACTGAGAAGTTTGCTTACCTTTAGCCAGTTAGCTTCCAAAAGTTTTGAGTTAGGGACGCCTGGGTGGCTCAGTGGTTGAGTGCCTGCCTTTGACTCAGGGCAGGATCCTAGGATCCAGGATTGAGTCCCACATCAGGATCCCTGTGGGGAGCCTGCTTCTCCCTCTGCCTGTGTCTCTGCGCTCTCTCTCTCTCTCTCTCTCTCTCTCTCTCTCGAATAAAAAAATCTTTAAAAAAGAAAAAAACAAAAGTTTAGAGTTAATTCAGATCTTTCCAAGAGGCTTTCAGAATTAGAAAACTAGGCCAAACAGAAACAGACACATAGATCAATGGAACAGATTAGAGAATCCAGAAGTGGACCCTCAACTTTATGGTCAACTAATATTCGACAAAGGAGGAAAGACTATCCACTGGAAGAAAGTCTCTTCAATAAATGGTGCTGGGAAAATTGGATATCCACATGCAGAAGAATGAAACTAGACCACTCTCTTGCACCATACACAAAGATAAACTCAAAATGGATGAAAGATCTAAATGTGAGACAAGATTCCATCAAAATCCTAGAGGAGAACACAGGCAACACCCTTTTTGAACTTGGCCACAGTAACTTCTTGCAAGATACGTCCATGAAGGCAAGAGAACCAAAAGCAAAAATGAACTATTGGGACTTCATCAAGATATGAAGCTTTTGCACAGCAAAGGATACAGTCCACAAAACTAAAAGACAACCTACAGAATGGGAGAAGATATTTGCAAATGACCTATCAGATAAAGGGCTAGTATCCAAGATCTATAAAGAACTTATTAAACTCAACAGCAAAGAAACAAACAATCCAATCCTGAAATGGGCAAAAGACATGAAGAGAAATCTCACAGAGGAAGACATCGACATGGCCAACAAGCACATGAGAAAATGCTCTGCATCACTTGCCATTAGGGAAATACAAATCAAAACCACAATGAGATACCACCTCACACTAGTGAGAATGGGGAAAATTAACAAGGCAGGAAACAACAAATGTTGGAGAGGATGTGGAGAAAAGGGAACCCTCTTACACTGTTGGTGGGAATGTGAACTGGTGCAGCCACTCTGGAAAACTGTGTGGAGGTTCCTCAAAGAATTAAAAATAGACCTGCCCTACGACCCAGCAATTCCACTGTTAGGGATTTACCCCAAAGATTCAGATGCAATGAAACACCGGGACACCTGCACCCCGATGTTTCTAGCAGCCATGTCCACAATAGCCAAACTGTGGAGGGAGCCTCGGTGTCCATCGAAGGATGAATGGATAAAGAAGATGTGGTTTATGTATACAATGGAATATTACTCAGCCATTAGAAACGACAATTACCCACCATTTGCTTCAACGTGGATGGAACTGGAGGGTATTATGCTGAGTGAAGTAAGTCAATCGGAGAAGGACAGTGTATGTTCTCATTCATTTGGGGAATATGAATAATAGTGAAAGGGAATATAAGGGAAGGGAGAAGAAATGTGTCAGAAATATCAGAAAGGAAGACAGAACATAGAGACTTCTAACTCTAGGAAATGAACTAGGGGTGGTGGAGGGGGAGGAGGGCGGGGGGTGGGGGTGAATGGGTGACGGGCACTGAGGGGGACACTTGACGGGATGAGCACTGGGTGTTATTCTGTATGTTGGTAAATTGAACACCAATAAAAATTAATTTATAAAAAAAACAAAAAACAAAAACAAAATACTTGAACTGTGTAATAACAATCACTCTATTACTGTTGTATTTTTTTGTATATATTTTTTATTGGAGTTTGATTTGCCAACATATAGCATAACACCCCGTGCTCATCCCGTTAAGTGCCCCCCTCAGTGACCATCACCCAGTCACCCCAACCCCCAGCCCACTTCCCTTTCCACCACCCCTTGTTCGTTTCCCAGAGTTAGGAGTCTCTCCTGTTCTGTCACTCTCACTGATATTTCCCACTCATTTTCTCTCCCCTTTATTCCCTTTCACTATTTTTTATATTCCCCAAATGAATGAGACCATATAATGTTTGTCCTTCTCAAACTGATTTATTTCACTCAGCATAATACCCTCTAGTTCCATCCACATCAAAGCAAATGGTGGGTATTTGTAGTTTCTTTTTATATATATATATATAGATTTTTTAATGTATTTATTCATGAGAGACACAGAGAGCGAGGGGGGCAGACACAGGCAGAGGGAGAAGCAGGCTCCATGCAGGGAGCCTGACGTGAGACTTGATCCCGGGTCTCCAGGTTCATGCCCTGGGCCGAAGGCGGCGCCAAACTGCTGAGCCACCCAGGCTGCCCATATTGTCGTTTCTTTTTTTTTTTTTTTACTTGTTTTTTTAACTTTTCTTTTTGATATAAATTTATTTTTGATTGGTGTTCAATTTGCCAACATACAGAAAAACACCCAGTGCTCATCCCATCAAGTGCCCCCCTCAGTGCCCATCACCCACTCACCCCCACCCCCCACCCACCTCCCCTTCCACCACCCCTTGTTCGTTTCCCAGTTAGGAGTCTTTATGTTCTGTCTCCCTTTCTGGTATTATATTTGTCATTTCTAATGGCTGAGTAATATTCCATTATATATATAGACCACATCTTCTTTATCCATGCATCTTTCGATCAGCACTGAGGCTCCTTCCACAGTTTGGCTATTGTGGACATGACTGCTATAAACATTGGGGTGCAGGTATTTAAGTTTTCACTGCAACTGTATCTTTGGGGTAAATCCCCAGTAGTGCAATTGCTGGGTTGTAGGGTAGTTCTATTTTTAACTCTGAGGAACCTCCACACAGTTTTCCAGAGTGGCTGTAATACTAAATCTTAGATTCACTCCCAATGGGAGATACTCTCGCCCTTTGATATAATAACTGGAAAACCAGTGAGATTAGATCAAGGTGCATACGATCCCAGCTTTTAAAGGTAAGGTGATGACTTATAAGGGATTGATATAGACCCTTCAGAGAAATGAGAAATTGGTAGAACAGTCTTTTCACTCTGTGTTCCTAGGAGATAAAGACCTCAAACATCATGGCCTTTTCCTAGGAGATAAAGACCTCAAACATCATGGCCTTCAACCTGGAGACATGGTTGATTGGAAAAGACCTCCAGAAAGATTCATTCCAGCATTGCTATAGGGGAGCACGCCAGTCATGGTGCGGCTAAATTAGAAGGCATGTACTCATTGATTCATATTTCTCAGTTTAAAAAGGCTTCAGAATCTAACTGGACCACCAAACCTACCAGAGACCTCAAACTAACCGTTTCTTGGAAAAGGAAGCAGATGACATCTGTGTACACTACCCTCACAAGATTCAGGGTCAGGTCACTATTATGTTCATAAGATACTTCACATCAATTCTTATGAGGCTTATTTCTCTTCCCTTTCATTTTCACTTTTGATTGGGAAAGCAATGCTGTAATTTAATTATCACAGTCCCTTGCTACTTTTGGAAACCTTTCTATTGGATTTGTCACCATACTCCTACTGGGTCCTTTATTGATAATAATGACTCCATAATGTTACCTATATACAATTTCTCCATGGTCCCAAATATTTCCATTAGTTATAGCAAAACACCTTCCTCCATCACTTTTCATGTCAAGATATTCTTGCCTTAAGAAAACCTTCGATGTTTTATACTCACTCCCCCTAAATTAAAGACCACCTCCTGGGTCAACGGAACTTCGATTAGCAAAAAATGGAAATCCACTCCTTCCCTTCCTATGATTTCCTCTATACAAATTGTGTATCTCCCACCTGTTCTAACATAGAAATCTTTTCACCTGTCCATCTCCATTATGCCAAGTCTTTTGGATATCACTACTTGAATGTAACAACCCATCATGCATCAAACCTGATACTATCTTTCAACAACTCAGTGGTGCTCTTTTACAAGAAATATATTCCTTTAACCAAACAACTGGACATTCAAAGCTCTCTGATCCCTGCTTAGATGCTATCCCCCTTCTCCTTTATAAAACTGAGAGCTTGGTATTCCATGCACCCCCACAGTATATATCTTTGTTCATATACCAGTACTCTTCGGACATTTAATTGTTTAGATAGCTGGAGAATTAGTAGCCAAGGCCTTTTGGGCCACCTTATTTCCCCCCTTAAAATTCTCAGATCCCATCTGATCTCCCATCACATGAAAAAAAAGGGACTTATCCATAATAGATGAAGATCCTTCTGATTATGAAGATAATAGCTGCCCTGCAGGGTTTTCTGTCAATTATCAGTGACTGCTGTCTCTCCTTTGAGGTTTCTTTTTCTGGCTGGGGCTTGGTATTTTCCAACATAAGATCACATTGTAGAATTTAATTAGAATAAGTCTATAAATTGTATTATTGTTATTTTAATTTGTACCCTACTTATTATTTTCAAATTATGTCATACATTTCCCAGTGTTGTTCTACTCAAAATGTCAACATAACGGTTGCTAAAAGATTTGAAAATATTCATCAGGCCTACTCACTGACAGTGACAAGTGAAACTTCAGTTGACATAGCCTAAGCTCCACTTCCTTTAAACCTCCTTGTTGCTCAGAGGTAGCCTTAAGACTCTCACACAAAGATCTACCAACCAGGAGACTCTCTCCACCCCCACTCCACCCCGGGACTTGATGGACCTGGAGGAGGCTGTTGGCCACTCAGGCATCACATTGGGACTACAAAGCCAAGGTTGATTATAGAGAAAGATCTTGATTAGAAGGGGGGAATGATAATGAAGAGAATAAATTAGGAGCAAGCATTGATAAGAGGGTTATTTAATAATGGAACCAGGAGGACATTGAGGAAGTAGGATTTACGTCTCCGGTCTCAAATTCTCAGAATTGTTGCTGTCCTCAGCTAAAAGCCAAGGTATCCACAACATGGTAGAATGGTCATAAGGGGACTTTCTGCCTAGCACTAGTTCTAACAACCAATCAGAATATATTCTAACTGTAGCTATACCAGCACCAGTCACATTTTGTTTAAAACAACTTTAAAACTTTTTTGCTTTAAGAACCCTGACCTTCTGGGTCTCTCCAGAGCACGCTCTTGATTTCAGTTGACTCTGTCTCTCCCAAATTGGAATCCCCAAGACCCCCAAATAGAACAGACACATCTTATTTTGTAGACTGTGGTTTTCCCCTTCACTGATCAACACATTCTAAATGTTGGTGAGGGGGGTACTGAAATGTCTTTATTATTTTTAGTGTTGCTTTTGACAAAATATGTTTATAGAAAGCTTTGGTGGATAGATACATACAAGTGGATCAAATTGTGATTATCTGGTGAAAATGCCAGCCCAAAATTAAGTGGATTCTGAATTCTCAAAGGAAATTTTGAATGTGCTACTGCTTACAACAAGAACATTAGATACACATTTTTTCCACCAATGAAAGTGACAGCTTCCCACAAACATTTTATGTTCAAGGTCTTAGAATCTATTCCAGTAACAGGAAGAGCTAAGACATTTCTATAGAAGCCCTGAAGTAATTTCTGTGATGCTCTGTAATGTACGAAGTGACATAGGAAAGGTGATTATCTCATCTCCATGAAAAGTTCATTTTGAAGAGATAATACTTGAACTCTCTGTAAGTATGTAAGTACTTTATCTTCCTTCCTGTCATAAGACTAAAAAAAACTAGAGTTTTGATTTGTGCTTCAATCCTTCATTCCTCCCCACCAACAGAAAAGAAATAACTATACCAAAGTATTATAGAATATACAATGCAAAAGAATGAAACTTACCTAATTGCAGCTTATGTGAAACAAGCAAGCGACAATCTAAATGTAAGTAACATTAAGATACTCATAAAGCTGGCATTTCCTCAAAGGCATTTATCTAAGACATTAACACAGTATGCAAAGTCAATCTCCTGTTTCACCAAGCCTCTATGAAGGAGGAGTATCATTTTTAAAAAGTGAGGTAGAAAATTCAAAGAAACCAATTAAAGCTCACTCTAAGCAGAGAACGTGTGTGATTGCTACTTGGTTTTTGTTGCTATCAAGAAGACTGACTTTAGAGACCATAAAGCATAGGACTAGACCAGCCATCCCATGCCCTGTTACCAGCAAGTAAAGGCTGAAGGAAGGCAGTGGGGATTTACTGAAGTTCATTGCTTCTAGCCAGATCCCTCCTGCAACCTAATTTCATTAGTGGGCCAGTGTTTTTCTTCCATGTGTATTAGAGGTGATGAGGAAGGAATGGTAGATTATTATAGTAAGCTTATTATAATAGAAACAATATTTAAAAGATTTTGCAAAAGAGAAAGAAGATATGTGATTAAAGCTATTTTATCTGACATTTAATAAGCCTTGTCACTCTTGAAATTCCAACTGCTACTATTGCTTGCTTACTTTACCTTTTGCCTAGTCCACACAAGAATTGATCTAAATTAAACAAAACTGATTACAATCACATCAGATTCCATGCATTAGGTAGCCTCCATCCCATATTCTGTTATGCAGGATATTACTTTATTGTAGTACACTATACTGATGGAGTTTAAAACAAAACATGTTACCCCAAAATATGGAATCCTAGCATATTGAATATTTGAGGCTGAGTTTGAGAAAATGGCAGAAACAGGTTGGTCTCTGACCTCCCCCACAACCCTTGCCTTACTTCCCTGAAACACGTTGTAAAACTGCCATGTGATTGATAGATGCCCTCCCTCTAGCTGGAGGAGAAAAGCATCCTTAACTCTAAATAAGAAGGGATGCCGAAAAGAATCTGAACAAACAGGCCTTGCTAAAATTACCCCTGTTTATTACAAATAACTCATGCTCTTTGACCTGTAATATCATATTTTTGATAAACCCAGCATAAAAATACACAGCTCTAAAAAATATATACACAGCTCTAACCATTTCTTCACATCTTTATTTCCTTACAGAAGGCTCCTGTGTCCTGGATGTGCTCCTTATTTTGATTGCAGTGATCATTTCTCAAGTGTAATGTCAGTATTTCTCAATTGTACATTTAAATGGAGCAGTTTCAGGCAGCCTGGGTGGCTCAGCAGTTTAGCACCAGCTTCAGCCCAGGGCGTGATCCTGGAGACCAGGGATCAAGTCCCACATCCGTCTCCCTGCATGGAGCCTGCTTCTCCCTCTGCCTGTGTCTCTGCCTCTCTCTGTTTCTCATGAATAAATAAATAAAATCTTTTTAAAAAATTAAATAAATGGAGCAGTTTATGTTTTGTAAATGATATGCCTTTTGATAATATTTAAAATAAAAGCCCAAAACCTATGTGTCTGGGGCAAAGCAACCAACTAGCAAGTGGTCAGGGCAAAGACAAATTTAAAAAAAAAACAATTATGGCTTACTTTCTGTGCCCCAGCACTACAAGGGCTGGTGTGGATTTGTGGATTGTGGGCTCACTGAGGTCACAAGTTCCCCGTCAGCCAGATCCTGTTCATTGCTGACTATGCTTAGGTGTTACTGTTACTCTAATTTCAGTGTGAAATTGTTGCAGAGTTTCAGGCAGGGACCATTATGATTGATGATGAGTGATGGAAGACATGAGAATCACATGTATGTAAAATTGGAAGAGAAGTCAAGCACAGTAAGTACAAGTGCTCTAGAGATGTCCAAGATGCAAAGGATGAGCTCACCTCACCCCATGACAAATTGAGATAACAACAGATTATGTGAGAACAACCTGAAGACTGGCATAACAGATCTTCCACAGTCAATCATAGGAGCCCACATCAAAACAGGGTAGGAGGGCAGAGACATAGGAACCAGAGCACTGGTAAGACTGACCACAAATGAGAGGGACACCATGAGCACAGAAGAGTGAGGATGGGACCCCACACAAGTGCCCCAGGCATTACGGACCCATGCTGGGAAGACAAGTCCTTATAACATTGGGCTTTGAAAATCAGGGGGCCTTAACCTATTTTAATCCATGTGTTTTAATTATCGGGCTTAGCTCCTAGAGAGCCAGAGGGCGAAAGGAAACAGTCCCTTCCCTCAAAGAGCCACCTTTAACAACACGACCAAGACGTACCTTGAAGAAAGAGTTCGAAAAGCACTTGGAGAGGTGGCTCAGTTGGTTAAGCATCTGCCTTCAGCTCAGATCATGATCTCAGAGTCCTGGAATCGAGCACCGTCCTGGAATCAAGCAGTCCTGGAATCAAGCACCGTGTCAGGCGTCCTGCTCAGCAGGGAGTCTGCTTCTCCCTCTCCCTCTGCCTTTCCCCCTACTCATGCTTGCTCACTTGCTTTCAAATAAATACATAAAATCTTTTAAAATACACTTGGAGTATACCTGTTGAATATTTATTTACTAAAATGTGCTAGAGGGACAGGAATCTTTAGGAGACTTCTCCAAGAACAAAACTTTTGGCAGGCACCATTTCTCTTCCCTTACCGCATCCTAGATAGCTGGATTCTTTCAAACCAGCACAAATACTCTACCTATCTTAGGACTACACACCCTGTCCCCATGTTCCCTTGCGGACCAGCCCCATTAAAATCCACCCAAATTCTCAGGCATCTTTCCAAATAGGCTTCTACTCGGGGACACCCTACATGCAGCTTCAGCAGGAACTAAAGCCACTCCAAAAGTGACTCCTGTCCTGGGTAAGGGGGAAAGATAACCACACAAACCAGCATGCCATGAGTTCCAACAGCCGAGTCTTTTAGCTGACAGCACAAGGAGAGTGCCCTGCTTTTAGGTGCAACTACAGCCCCAGCAAAAGGACTGGGGTAAGTTACCTGGTCTGGCCACGCCCACCAACAGAAGCCACTTAGGGGGAGTACACTGCATTTCAGTGTGCATTCAACTGTAGCACAAGGATTTAAGTGCAGAGAGCTAACATGAATGCTGACACTGCCAAATCACAAGCCTATGGTGGCCTCAGGCCCCTCAACAGCACTGGACAACCCTGCCAGGTGTACCCATAGTGTGCAAAACAGGCCATTGCAGCCAGCTCCACAAACCACAAACATGGCTCAGCCACAACAATAGGGCACACTCAACCCATGTAAGAGACCCTAATGGAGCACCTGGCTCTGGTGACCATTGGCATTGTGCTACAGGGCACCACAGGACCACTTCTTCATAAGGTTGCTACTCTCAAGATCAGGAGACAGCAGATATTCCTAATATATAGAAACAAAAACATACAAAATAAGGAGACGGAAGAATATGTCCCAAATGAAAGAGGGAGACAGAATCACAGCAGAACTAAATTCTGAAATGGAGATAAGCAGTGTGCCTAATAAAGAATTCCAAGTGTAAGGGTCATGAACATACTGGACTTGAGCGGGAGGATCTCGGTGAGACCTTAAACAAAGAGACATAAAACATACTCTACCCCTCCGCCTTAAAAGCCCAGACAGGAACAGGGTCCAGATGCCATAACAGGAAGATCTAGTACAGTGATTCTGTGATCTCGGCAAGTCTTGGTTCATAAGCCAAACGCCAGTCCCAGTCACGCTGGGACACACACGCAAAAAAGCTACAATTTTTAAACGGCCTGAAAAAGGGGTGCCTGGGTGGCTCACTTGGTTAAACGTCTACCTTCAGCTCAGGTGGTGATCCCAGGACCTGGGATTGAGCCTATTCTCCTCTCTCTCCCTGCTCCTCCCTCTGCTTGTGGTCTCTCTTGGACAAATAAATAAAAACTTAAAAATAAATAAAAGGCCTGAAGAGCTGCAGGAACACTTTCTTCCCCTCTACCTTAAAACCGGAGACCAGAACAGGACCTGGCTGGCAAGGAGCTTGCGACCTCAGTGAGTCCACAGTCCACAAGCCCACACTAGCCCCTATAGTGCTGGGGTACTGAAAGTAAGCCACAGTTTTTTTAATTTCTCGTTTTCATTTCTCTTATTTTTTGTCTTTACTCTTTTTTCATTTTTTTCTCAAATTGTATTTTTATTATAATTACTTTCAGTAAGAAGCTGTGGTTTAGAACAACTAGCATATATAGCCACAATTCCAGTCAGCCAGCAAAATTCACCAGGCTGTGTCCATTCGAGACAATTCCTTCAGGGACACTTGGGTGGCTCAGTGGTTGAGTGTCTGCCTTGGGCTCAGGTCATGATCCTTGTGTCCTGGGATTGAGTCCCGCATCGAGCTTCAATTTTAGGAGAAGTAGCTGTTCCATGTAATCTGTACAAATACATAAAGTCAAGCAAAATGGGGAGACAGAGGAATATGCTCTAAAACAAAAAAGAAAAATCTCAGAAAAGAACTAAATGAAGCAGAGATAAGTAATATACCTGATAAAAAGAATTTAAAGTAGGGACACCTGGGTGGCTCAGTGGTTGAGCATCTGCCTTTGGCTCAGGGTGCAATCCCGGAGTCCCAGGATCTAGTCCCGCATCAGGCTCCATGCATGGAGCCTGCTCTCCCTCTGCCTCTGTCTCTGTGTCTCTCATGAATAAAATAAATCTTAAAAAAATAATTTAAAGTAATGATTGTAAAGATACTGGACTGGAGAAAAGAGTGGATGAACTGAGACCCTCAAAATAGGTAGAATACAAAAATGCACCATTCAGGGTTTAAGCATAGAAAAACAAAAAAACACTGGAAAGAATCAACAATAGATTAGCTACTGCAGAAGAATGTATCAGCCATTTGGAAGGTAGGCAATGGAAAGCACACTAGTTCAACAGCAAAGAGGAAAACAAATTTTTAAATGAGGATAGGTTAAGAGATCTCTTGGACACCATAAAACAAACTGCATTATAGGTGTCCCACGAAAAGAGAGGAAGGTGTAAAAAATGTATTTGAAGAAATAACTGAAAACCTCCGTAACCCAGGGGAAGGCAATAGACATCCAAATCCAAGAAGCACAGATAGTTCCAAACAAAATGAGTCTAAAGAGGTCCACATCATGACACATAAAATGACAAAAAGTAATGATAGAGAATTTTAAAAGCAGCAAAAGAAAACAAATTACATACAAGAGAAATCCCAGAATGCTGCCAGCTGATTTTTCACCAGAAACTTTGCAGACCAGAAGGCAGTAGCAGGATATATTCAAAGTACTAAAAGGAAAAGAACTACAACCAGGAATACTCTACAAGCAAGGTACTCATTCATATTTAAAGGAGAGATAGTGTTTCCCAGACCAAAGATAAACACCACTAAACCAGCTTTAGGGATGTTAAAGGGACTTCTTTTTTGGTATTTTTTATTTAAATTCAATTAAATCGCACAGCCCTGGTGGGCAGCGGTTTAGCGCCGCCTGCAGCCCAGGGCCTGATCCTGGAGACCTGGGATCGAGTCCCACGTCGGGCTCCTGCATGGAGCCTGCTTCTCCCTCTGCCTGTGTCTCTGCCTCTCTCTCTCTCTCTCTCTCTCTCTGTGTGTGTGTCTATCATAAATAAATAAATAAATAAATGAATAAATAAAATCTTTAAAAATAAATAAATTCAAGTAAATCAACATACAGTGTATTATTAGTCTCAGAGGTAGGATTTAGTGATTCATCAGTTGCATATAACACCCAGTGCTCATTCTATCAAATACCTTCCTTAATGCCCATTACCCAATTATCCCTTCCCCAAACCCACCTCCCCTCCAGCAATCCTCAATTTGTTTCCTGTAGTTAAAGAGTATCTTATGGTTTCTCTCCCCTTCTGATTTCATCTTAATTTATTTTTCTTTTTTTTTAAATTTTTTTTTATTTTTATTTATTTATGATAGTCACACAGAATGAGAGAGAGAGGCAGAGACACAGGCAGAGGGAGAAGCAGGCTCCATGCACCGGGAGCCCGATATGGGATTCGATCCTGGGTCTCCAGGATCGTGCCCTGGGCCAAAGGCAGGCGCTAAACCGCTGCGCCACCCAGGGATCCCTTAATTTATTTTTCTAAAGGGACTTCTTTAAGTGGAAAATAAATAGCCATAATTAGACACAAGAAAATGGTGAATAAAAATATAAAATATTACAACATGTACATAAAATGTGAAGGAAGGAGTAAAAACAAGAAGAAGGGGAAAAATAAAAGATTCTTTGGTTTGTTTTAAGAATTTTTTTAAAGACCTATTTATTCATGAGAGAGAGAGAGAGAGAGAGAGAGAGGGAGAGAGACAGGCAGAGGGAGAAGCAGACTCCATGCAGGGAGCCCAACATGAGACTCAATCCCGGGTCTCCAGGATCGTGCCCTGGGTTGAAGGCAGCGCTAAACCGCTGAGCCACCCGGGCTGCCCCAAGAATGTTTTTATTTTTTTTATTTTTTTAAAGATTTTATTTATTTATTAATGAGAGATACAGAGAGAGAGTGAAAGAGTGCAGCAGAGACACAGGCAGAGGAAGAAGCAAGCTCCATGCAGGGAGACCTACGTGGGACTCGATCCCGGGTCTCCAGGATCAGGCCCTGGGCTGAAGGCGGTGCTAAACCGCTGAGCCACTGGAGCTGTTCCAACCAAGAATGTATTTAAATGACCTTCAAATTAATATGGACTCCAGTGTGCTTATGATGTTATATAGGAGCCTCATGGTAACCACAAACCAAATTCTGTAATAGAAACACACACACACAAAAAAAGCCAAACAACACTATAGAACCCATCAATCATGAAGAGAACAAAGAAGAACTACAGCCAGAAAACAAGTAATAAAATGGCAATAAGTACATAACTACCTTTAAGTGAAATTACCTAAATACTCCAATCAAAAGACAAAGGGTGGTGTGAATGGAAGAAAAAACACAACCCATACAGCCTACAGGAGGCTCATCTCAGACCTAAAGATGCATACAGACTGAAATTCAAGAGATGGAAAAATATTCATCATGCAAGTGGAAACAAAAAGCTGGGTAGCAATGTTTATACCAGACAAAATGTACTTTAAAACAAATTCCATAACAGGAGACAAAGAAGGGCATTACATAATGATAAAAGTATCAACCCAACATGAGGATATAACAGTTATCTATACACTCAACCCCAGAACACTTAAATACCTAATTACCTAATAGACATAAAGAAATTGATGGTAATACAATGTAACACTACACTTACATCACTAGATAAATCATTCAGGCAGAAAATCAATAATCAATGTCTATTAAGGGCACCTTGGTCCAAAAGAACCTAACAGACATACAGAACATTCCGTCCAAAAACAACAGAATACACTTTCTTTCCAAGTGCACATGATCCAGAATAGATCAAGTATGAGGCCACAAAACAATCCTCAGTAAAGTTAAGAAGATTGAAATCATACCATGCATTTTTTTTCTGATCACAGCAGTATTAAAACAAGAAATTACAAGGAAAAAATTGTAAGAAATAAACATATGTAGACTAAATAACATGAAACTAAATAACCAAAAGACCAGTGATGCAATCAAAGAAATTTTAAAAAACACAGGGGCAGCCCAGGTGGCTCAGCGGTTTAGCACAGCCTTCAGCCCAAGGCGTGAGCCTGGAGACCCAGGATTGAGTCCCATGTTGGTCTCCCTGCATGAAGCCTGCTTCTCCCTCTGCCTGTGTCTCTGCCTCTCTGTCTGTCTGTCTCCCTCTCTCTCTCTGTCTCTCATGAATAAATAAATAAAATCTTTAAAAAAAATAAACACATACATGGAGACAATGAAAAAGACAGTGGTCCAATGTCTTTGGGACCTGTGTAAATGAAGCACATAACAATACAGGCCTACCTCAAGAAACTGGAAAAAGCTCAAATAAACAATCTACTCTTACATCTAAAGGAACTAGAAAAAGAATGAACAAATCCCCAGATAAGAAAGGAAATTAAAAAAAAAGAAAAGGGATCCCTGGGTGGCGCAGCGCTTTGGCGCCTGCCTTTGGCCTGGGGCGCGATCCTGGAGGTCCGGGATCGAGTCCCACATCGGGCTCCTGGTGCATGGAGCCTGTTTCTCCATCTGCCTGTGTCTCTGCCTCTCTCTCTCTCTCTCTCTCTCTCTCTCTCTCTCTCTCTGTGTGTGTGTGTGACTATCATAAATAAATAAAAAAAATTAAAAAAAAAGAAAAAGAAAGGAAATAAAGATCACAGCAGAAATAAAGTACAGAGAGGCTAAAAAAACAATTCAATGAAACCAAGAGCTGGTTCTTTGAAACGGTAAACAAAATTGACAAACCTTTAGCCAGATTTACTAGGAAAGAAAGATAAAAGACCCAAATAAGTAAAATCAGAAGCAAGAGAGAAGTAACAACTGACACCATAGGAACACAGAATTAGCATATTATAAAAAATTAAATAACAGCAAATTGAAAACCTAGAATAAATGAATAAATTCCTAAAAACATAAAATCATCCAAAATTGAGCCAGGAATAAGTAGAAAATCTGAGCATACTGATTACAAGTAATGAAACTGAATTGGTAATCAAATGCCTTACAAAAAATTTGGGATCCCTGGGTGGCTCAGCAGTTTAGCGCCTGCCTTCAGCCCAGGGTGTGATCCTGGAGTCCCGGGATCAAGTCCCACATCGGGCTCCCTGCATGGAGCCTGCTTCTTCCTCTGCCTGTGTCTCTGCCTCTCTCTCTCCTTGTGTCTCTCATGAATAAATAAATAAAATCTTCAGGACCACCCAGGGATCCCCCAATAAAATCTTTAAAAAAAAAAGCCTTAACAAAAAATAAAAGCCCAGGATCACATTGATTCACAAGTGAATTCTTCCATACATTTAAAGAAGAGTTAACACCTATTCTTTGTAAACAATTTCATAAGTGAGAATAGGAAAGAAAGCTTCCAAATTCATTATACAAGGCCAGCATTGCTGTGATACTAAAAGCATAGACAGACACTACAAAAAAGAAAACTATAGGCCAATATCTCTGATGAACATAGATGGAAAAATGCTCAATATTAGCAAATTGCATACACTACATTAAAAGGATCATTCACCACGATCAATTAGGATTTATTTCAGGAATGCACAGATGGTTCAATATTCACAAGTCAATCAACACGATACATCAATAAAATGAAGACTAAAAATCATCAATAGATGCAGAAAAGCACTTGACAAAGTTCATCATCCATTCATAATAAAACTCAACAAAGTGGGGTTAGAGGGAACATACCTCAACATGATAAAGGCTATATATGAAATACAGCTAACATCATACTCAACAGAGAAAAACAGATTTTCCACTAATATCAGGAATAAGACAAGGATGTCCACCTAGCTACTTTTATTCAACATAGTACTAGCTGAAGAAATCAGACAAAAAGAAGTAGGCATCCATACTGGTAAAACAAACCAAAAAAAGTGCCACTATTTGCAAACAACATGATAATATACACAGAAAATCCTAAAGACTCACCCAAAAAACTACTAGAAGTAATAATCCAGTAAATTTGCTGGATTAAAAAAAATGAATACCCAGAAAATGGTAGGATTTCTATATGCTAAAAATGAAGCAGCAGAAAGAAAAATTGAGAAAATAATCCCACTTATAGTTGTACTACAAAGAATGAAATACCTAGGAGCAAACTTGAGAAAATCCTGTACTTTGAAAACTATATCAAAGAAAGGAATTGAAGACGACAGAAACAAACATAAAGGTATACCATGCTTGTGGATTTTAAGAACCAATATTGTCGAAATGTCCATCCTACCCAAAGGAATCTACAGATTTAATGCAATTGCTATCAAATTACCAACAGCATTTTCCACAGAACTATTACAAATAATACGAAAATTTGTATGGAACAACAAAAGACCTTGAATAGCCAACGCAATCTTAATGAGGTATAAAGCTAAAGATATCAACATCCCAGATTTCAAGATTTATTACAAAGCTTTGCTAGCCAAAACACTATGGTACTGGCACAAAAACAGACACATAGACCAAAGGAACATAATAGAGAGCTCAGAAATAAACCCATGCATATGTGGCCAAATAACCTAATAAAGGAGGCAAAATGTACAATGGTTGCCACAGAGCCAGGATAGTTGGAGGCCACGATATGAAGAAAGACTGGAATCTCACTGAATTTTAATATAGGGGACGGGGGGGCAGGGCTGGGACTTGGTCTCAGTCTCATTGGCTGTCTCACTCAGCTTTTATTAAGAGAGCTAGCAGATTGGCTATAGGAATGATTAACTTTGGGAAGCAGAGAAAAACATGTTTACTTCAAAGGTAAAAGAATAAGCTATTAACTCAAGGAAGGGAAGCAGAGGAGCTGTATCTGGAGAACAATGTGGTCAAGAGAGTCCATCTGCCGACTCAGGACCTCACAGAGGAGCTGTATCTGGAGAACAATGTGGTCAAGAGAGTCCATCTGCCGACTCAGGACCTCACATATCCCCAGTGTGCCAAGGACTCAGATTCAGTTCTCAGATAAGCTCCACGGCTGGGTCCCCACAAATGGTGAAAAGATAGTCTCTTCAAACTAATGGTGTTGAGAAAACTGGACAGCTATGTGCTAAAGAATGAAACTTTACCACTTTCTTACAGCATAAACATAAACTCAAACTGTATTAAAGACCTAAATTGTAAACCTGAAACCATAAAACTCCTAGAAGAAAATATAGTCGGTAATTTCTTTGACATCAGAGGTAGAAACATTTTTCCAGATATATCTCCTAAGACAAGGAAAATAAGCAAAAATAAACTCTTGGGACTAGACTTAAGACAAACAACTTTTGCATGACCAAGGAAACCATCAACAAAATGAAAAGATGACCTACAGACTGGTAGGAGATATTTGCAAATGATATATCTGATAAAGGGTTAATATCTAAAATATATAAAGAACTAACAGCACCAAAAAAAACCCCCACAAGTAATCCAATTAAAAAATGGACAGAAGCTCTGAAAAGACATTTTTCCAAAGAAGACATACAAATAGCCAACAGACACATAAAAAGATGCTCACCATCACTTATCAGGGAAAGGCAAATCAAAATCACAATGAAATAACACCCTACACTTGTCAGAATGCCTATGATCAAAAACACAACAAAAGACAAAGTACTGTCGAGACTATAGAGAAAAAGAATCCTTTTGCACTATCGAGAATGCAAATTGGTGTACCTACTGTGGAAAACAGTATGGAGTTTTCTCAAAAAATTAAAAATACAAATACCATAGGATCCAATAATACCACTACTGGGTATTTACCCAGAGAAAACAAAAACAGTAATTTGAAAAGATATATGCACTGCTATGTTTATTGCAGCATTATTTGTAGTAGCCACAATATGGAAACAAACCAAGTGTCCATATATAGATGAAAGGATAAAGATGTGGTGTATGTATATATACATACCATGAGTTATTATCCAGCCATTATAAAATGGGATCAATCCATTTGTAGCAACATTGATGGACCTAGAGGGTATTATGCTGAGATAAGACAAAGACAAATACCATATGATTTTTAATCATATGTATAATTTAAGAAACAACAAATGAAAAAAGAAAAAAAACCAGACTCTTAAGAGAAAAAAAAAAAACTGGTGATTGCAATAAGGGAGTTGAGTGGGGGGTGGGAGAAACAGATAAGGGGGATTAAGAGGGATAAACTTCTAAATAACTAAGTCATAGCAATGAAAGTACAGCATAGAGGATGTAATCACTAAGAGTTTAATAATTGGTGAAGATGGTGACTTCACTATGCTGAGCACTGAGTAATGTATAAAATTGTTGAATCACTATATTGTGTACCTGAGGTTAATACAACACTGTATTTTAATTATACAATAAAAAATTTCTTAAAGAGATGTAGAGTTTTCTGTATACTTCCTGTGGTATCTACTAAATTCTGCACATGTTCATTTTTAAAAATTAATTTCCAGACAGCCCACGTGGCTCAGCAGTTTAGCATCGCCTTCAGCCCAGGGCCTGATCCTGGAGACCCGGGATCGAGTCCCACATCGGGCTCCTGCATGGAGCCTGCTTCTCCCTCTGCCTGTGTCTCTGCCTCTCTCTCTCCCTCTCTGTGTCTCGAATGAATAAATAAATAAATATTTTTTAAAAAAAAATAAATAAATATAAATAAATAAATAAATAAATATAAATAAAAATAAAAATTAATTTCCACACTATACATCACCTTCTTGAAAACGTCGTTGACCAGGCATTTTTAAGAAATTTTCACTTAATTGACCCACGTATTAGTTGAAGATCAAAACCTAAAGAAGAAAAGAGATCTGTTCAAAATCAGATAGCAGGTTGATGAGATCACAGGGGTGTTTTGGTACTGCCTACCCTCTCTACCTGCTCTCCTCTTTCCCTACTCTAACCACTGATTCACAGAACTTAGGAGCTGGCATGCAGTACACGAAGCCAGTGTCTCCTGAACTTTGGCCCACTAACCATGTCAACAGGAGGGAGTGTGCCAAGGGTATGGTCCATAAGAGGTAATGAGCCAGTATAACCATTAGAAAAGAGTCTCTTAGGACTCCTTCATCAAACCTGTATATCAGGGGTACCTTGGTGACTCAGTTAAGCATTTGCCTTTGCCAGAGGTCATGATCCCAGGGTCCTAGGATGGAGTGGGTTCTCTACTCAGCAGGGAGCCTGCTGATCCCTCTCCCTCTGCCTTTCCCCTTGCTGGTGCTCTCTGTCTCTCAAATAAATAAATTCTTCAAAAGAAAACTTCTTTAACGTTGAAAACCACTTATGTGTTACTGTTAAAATCATAAAAGAATACATCATTAAAATAAGCTGTTCGTCTTTCACTATTATTCTGAGCCTGCCCTGTGCCACAGACCAAAAGAGTAATGTAGAATTGGCATTTGACAAGTTTTCGTCTTACAAAGAAATGACAAGCAAGTTCATGCTTGATCCTCCCCAACAGAGATTCTGATTATGTATAAACAAAACGGCTAAGTAGAAGGCCCTCTAGCAGACTACATTTCACAAGGGAAGTTTCAGCATCGTCGTTTTTTTTTAAAGATTTATTTATTTATTTATGATAGAGAGAGAGAGAGAGAGAGAGAGGGGCAGAGACACAGGAGGAGGGAGAAGCAGGCTCCATGCGGGGAGCCCGATGCGGGACTCGATCCCGGGACTGCAGGGCCGCACCCTGGGCCAAAGGCAGGCGCTAAACCACTGAGCCACCCAGGGATCCCCAGCATCATCGTTTAGATCCAACATACAGTAACAAGTTCTGTTCCTCAGCAATCTAGGGAGACCAACAGGATCATCTCAAATCTTTCCTAGTTCTCAGGTTAATCAAACGATCAGGCTACTCTACTTTTAAAGCTAAAAGGACTCAAGTTGGGATCCCCGGGTGGCGCAGCGGTTTAGCGCCTGCCTTCAGCCCAGGGTGCAATCCTGGAGACCGAGGATCGAGTCCCACATCAGGCTCTCTGCATGAAGCCTGCTTCTCCCTCTGCCTGTGTCTCTGCCTCTCATGAATAAATAAATAAAATCTTTTAAAAAATGAAATAAAAATAAAAGGTCTCAAGTTACTGAAATAATACTGCCTTTCTTTGCTCAATCTTGAGCACTAATAACCTAGCTATACTATTACTGGAAGTCTAATGTACACGTGATTTCTAGAAAACCTCCACGGCACCAGTATAAACTGGATTAAAACATTGCAGAAAGTCATGCGTGTAAATATCAAGGGGATAAAACACAAGGTGCAACTTACATCGCACACCTACCAGACGCACGAAATCAACTCTAGTCAAATCATGGCCTTTTCTGGGCTTTGAGTTTGAAATTACCAGAAGGGATCATACTATTTCCAATCCCCGAGGCGGAGCTCTCATGATCATCATGATGAACCATTAGGGAGACCGAGCATACATGGCCACAGTGCTAACCAGATATATACAGAGGAAGTTCAGGGAGAGGCCTACTTTGAAAAAGGAGCCTATGGACAGAAGAGGGTAGCACAGAATCCAAGTACAACTGAGCTAACTTACCTATCAGAAGTATGAAATCAATGCCTGCCCTTTGTCTGTGCTTGAACTCTGCTTCTATGGTGCTTGGATGGAACCATCGCTCGTTCCCCGCCCCCGGCCGCCTGGAGCCAGCCCTCTGCCATCCCCATGCGGCGCTCTCGGACCGCTCCAGCGCCGCCGCGCAGCCGCCGCCCTGATGACCGCGTCCCCCTCGCAGGTGCGCCCCAACTACCACCAGGACTCAGAGGCCGCCATCCACCACCAGATCAACCCGGAGCTCTATTCGTCCTACGTCTACTTGTCCATGTATTATTACTTTGATCGCAATGATGTGGCTTTGAAGAACTTTGCCAAGTATTTTCTTCACCAATCTCATGAGGAGAGGGAACATGCTGAGAAACTGATGAAGCTGCAGAACCAACGAGGTGGTTAAATCATCCTTCAGGATATTAAGAAACCAGGCCATGACGATTGGGCAAACGGGCTGAATGCAATGGAGTGTGCGTTACATTTGGAAAAGAGCGTGAATCAGTCACTACTGAAACTGCACAAACCGGCCACTGATAAAAATGACCCCCACTTGTGTGACTTCATTGAGACTTTTTACCTGAACGAGCAGGTGAAATCCATCAAAGCGTTGGGTGACCATGTAACCAACCTGCGCAAGATGGAGGCTCCCGAATCTGGAATGGCAGAGATCTCTTTGACAAGCACACCCTGGGAAACAGTGATAGTGAGAGCCAAGCCTTAGGCTGTCTTCACATAGCCACAAGGGGGACTTCCCTGGTCACCGAGGCAGTGGATGCATGTTGGGGTTACCTTTACCTTTTCTATAAGTTGTACCAAAACATCTACTTCTTTCATTTGTATCATTCCTTCAAATAAAGTAATTTGGTACTCAAAAGAGAGAGAGAGAAAAAAAACTACATGTTTTACTAGCTCTGTAACAGAAATCCTTTCTGCCACCACACACCGTTAAGAGAAATAAGCCTAGGCCTAAAGATGGTCTGGGCTTTATATGCTGCAAACCCATTGTGATGTAATCAACTGTGACCATTTAGTGACTTTACACTAATTTGGTAGGATTCAGGCTTATGGACAAACATACTGATCAACCATTTCTGCTTACTTAAACTACTGTCCCTGCATTGAATTGAATCACTTACTAGCCGTATATCAATTAATGTAGAAATGTTTTCCCACTTGTAGCTTAATAATTCTAATGAGAGATGAGTATCCTAGCACTACGTGGCAAGGGACACTTTGGATTTTGTACAAGCACTGTGACTCAGGTAACACCTTACAAAAGTGGACTGAGCCTCTTAAGATGGTAAGCAAGGTTGGAGGACACCTGGCTGGCTCAGTCAGTAGAGCATGTGACTCAATATCAGGGTCGTGAGTTCAATACCTGCATTGCTCCTAGAACTTACTTAAAAAAAAAAAAGCCACAGATGTTAAGAAAGGAACAATTTTTATATGTATTCCAAAGTGATCCATTTTATAGAAGCATACACACTTAGCGTCTCTCACTAAAGCCTCAAATTATTAAAAGTGGAAAAGGTTTTCAACCATATCCTAATGATGTAAACCATCAGGGTAATCAATCCTGGCCCTAAACCTGACCACTTGCATCCTACCAAAGTATAACATAGCACCTGTTGCATCAAAAATGGAGGGAAAATGACTGTTGGTCAGTGGCTAAAAGATCTGACAGAATAACAGCAGGAAGAGGTACAGGATATTCCCTCTTGTTGCAGCTTTCATCCCCAGATCTCCACGGGGCTCTCCCCCTACTTCCTTCAGGTATTATGTCACCTTGTCAGTGAGGCCTTCACTGTACAACCTACCGAAAGTGCAGGTCCCCCAGCCTCCCTGTGGCTGACTCCTGTCCCTGCCTTTGTGTGCTGCATAGGACAGATCATTATCCATTATGGTATATACCTGTCTCATCAATCTTATTTTTTTCAATTTCCCCCACCAGAATGTGAGCCCCATGTGAGCAGAGATAAATTTGTATCTTTAAAGGCTGTGTTTCCATTATTAAGAACAGTGTCGGGCAGCCCCGGTGGCTTAGCAGTTTAGCACCTTCAGCCCGGGATGTGATCCTGGAGACCCGGGATCGAGTCCCACATCAGGCTCCCTGCATGGAGCCTGCTTCTCCCTCTGCCTCTCTCTCTCTCTCTAATAAATAAATAAATCTTAAAAAAAAAAAAAGAACAGTGTCTGGCACACATTAGATTAGCAAATAATGATTCACTTATGACCAGGAGTCCTAAACTTCCTGCCATTCCCAGAGTTGACCCTGTTAATTGTGTAGTCTACGCCTTTCAGGATATCCTACTCTGTATTTGCAATCTCCTACAAAAAGTCCATTAAATATAGATACATTCACTTTAAGATTTTCAATATTTCTTGGGTGACTGGGTGGCTCAGTCAGTTAAGCATCTGCCTTAGGCTCAGGTCATGATCCCACAGTTCTGAGATCAGGCTCCCTGCTGAGCAGGGAGTCTGCTTCTCCCTCTGCCCCTCTCCCTGCTCATTCATTCTCTCTCTCTCTCTCTCTCTCTCTTTCTCTCTCTCTCACACACACACGCACACACACACGCTCTCTCTCAAATAAAGTCTTAAAAAAGATTCTGAATGTCTTCAACATGTTATACAAATAATTACCTGCTTCCAGTTCTAGCAACTACAGAACAACTACAGCTCTATAAATCTAACTATAATCAACTCTTGGTTATTGTATTTTCTCCCATATTTCTCAGATACTCAAACGTGATTTCTTTGGTCAGTTTTGGTTGGGAATCTCGATCAAGATGGTAGAGTAGGAAGATCCTGCACTTACTTCTTCCTGTGGATACACCACCAAGGCTACAACTACATATAGGGCATCTCTCTGAAAACAACCTGAATACTAGCAGAAACTATTCAGACCTAAACATACATAGAAGAAGCCACATCAAGAAGGGTGGGAGAGGTGAAATGCAGTCTTTTCAGGACCTACGCTCCTTATCACTGAGTGGGAAATAACTGATGCACATGACCTTCCCTGAGGAACAAGGGTATTAAGGTCCACATCAGGCATGCCCCCAACCCTGGGGACCTGCACCAAAAAGATGAAACCCCATAGTGTCTGTATTTGAAATCAGCTGTGCGTAAGTCCAGGCATGGGACTTCACTCTGGGAGAGCCAGGGGGCGATGGGAAACCAAGAGTCTGCTTTTAAAAGGCAGATGCACAAACTCACTTGCTCTGAGACCCCAGCACTTTGAAAA